GCATCCTTGGGCGTCACCCGGGGTAGCAGACGGGACCGGCAGACACCCCCAGGGGATGTTGGTGGAGCCAGGCCCCCTCCCCTGGCTGTTCCTGGTGCTCAGGGACCACAGAACACATCGCCCCTGTCCTGGGCTTTCACGTGGCCAGTGAGGGGTGGGGGAGCGAGGAGTGGGACAGTGATGCTGTTCTTCCAGTGTGGCTCAGGGACCCATTTGAACGGGCTCTCCAGGGGCTCGAAGGCCAAGCCCCGATGTCTGGAGCCCAAAGGCTTGGTGGGTGGTGAGGCTCAGGCCACCCCCCGTGGGGGGCCGTGCAGTTGTCAGAAGGGGGTCGCCGGACATCGAAGGCCGAGATCCCCTTAGCCTAATCCCTGTTCTGCACCCGGAGCCGGCGGTGGCCTTAGGAGGCTCTGTGATGCTTGTAAGAAGCACGCGGGACCTTTCTCAGGGGAAAAGGCAACACTTGGAGTCGGCGGGGGGCTGGGCCACGCTGCGATCCTCCCCCCCCAGGGGTGTTCATCTCCGCGTTTCCCGCAGTTGTTCTTCGGTGGCCCTGTCAGGCGTCCCAGCTGCGTCTCGGGTGTGTCTCACTCTTGGGGGTCTCTGCCTGTCTCCGGGCTCTGTCAACGCTGCCAATTCAGCTTAGGACACTGGGGGTGGTTCCTGGAGTCGGCGGGGGGCTGGGCCACGCTGCGATCCTCCCCCCCCAGGGGTGTTCATCTCCGCGTTTCCCGCAGTTGTTCTTCGGTGGCCCTGTCAGGCGTCCCAGCTGCGTCTCGGGTGTGTCTCACTCTTGGGGGTCTCTGCCTGTCTCCGGGCTCTGTCAACGCTGCCAATTCAGCTTAGGACACTGGGGGTGGTTCCTGGTTGAAGGTTCCTGCTTCTTGCCCCCCTGGGCACAGGGGAGCCCTTTCACGCTCGCACCTCCCACTCGCACTAGACAGTTCCACGGGCGTCAGACCCAACTGAGTGACTAAGGGAATGGCACGAGGGAAGGAATCTTGCACAACGGATGAGGCTGCAGCTTAACTGGTGGGGCTAACAGGAAGCAAGTCCTGTCCGGCCATGAGTGACAGGCGCGGGAGACGTGCAGGGAACTCTCACGCAAGTCCTTATGCGTCATGCGCACAGTCTTAGGCCAGCACTAAAGTGGCACCGTCCCCTGCCCAAGGAGCTGAGGAGCCAAGCACCCTCTGCTAGGGATCACTTGATGGGTTGCCTGGGCACCTGGTGTTGGCCGCTGTCGGCAGACAGGACGCTGGGCTGGATGGACCTTTGGTCTGACCCAGTGTGGCCGTTGTAATCTGCAGAGAAAATACGATGAGCGAACTACATGGCTCCATCCTCTCGTGGGGGGGGGGGGAGCCAGGCAAGAGGGGAATGTGCTGTTTCCAGTTGTACAGGGTTTGAGTAACTTTTCATCCCCATGTGGCCCGAAGGGGCCCACTTACGGCAGGACCAGAGCGCGGGCATTGGTTTGGTTGAACATAAGAACGGCCAGACTGGGTCAGACCAAAGATCCATCCAGCCCAGTGTCCTGTCTGCCGACAGTGGCCAGTGCCAGGTGCCCCAGAGGGAGGGAACCCAACAGGTAATGATCAAGCGATCTCTCTCCTGCCATCCATCTCCACCCTCTGACAAACAGGCCAGGGACACCATTCCTTACCCATCCTGGCTAATAGCCATTAATGGACCTAACCTCCATGAATCTATCTAGCTTATTTTAAACCCTGTTATAGTCCTAGCCTTCACAACCTCCTCAGGCGAGGAGTTCCACAGGTTGACTGTCTGAAGAAGAACTTCCTTTTATTTGTTTTAAACTTGCTGCCCATTAATTTCATTTGGTGGGCCCCTAGTTCTTATATTATGGGAACAAGTAAATAACTTTTCCTTATTTGCTTTCTCCACCCCGCTCATGATTTTATTGACCTCTAGCCTGTCCCCCAATAGTCTCCTCTTTTCTAAACAGAAAAGTTCTAGTTTCTTTAATTTCTCTTTAGATGGGACCCGTTCCAAACCCCTCGTCATTTTAGTTGCTCTTTTCTGACCTTTTTCTAATGCCAGTGTATCTTTTTTGAGATGAGGAGACCACATCTGTATGCAGTATTCCAGCTGTGGGCGTATCATGGATTTATATAGAGGCAGTAAGATGTTCTCTGTCCTATTCTCTATCCCTTTTTCAACGATTCCTAACATCCTGTTTGCTTTTTTTGACTGCTGCTGCACACTGTGTGGACGTCTTCAGAGAACTATTCACGATGACTCCAAGATCTCTTTCCTGATTAGTTGTAGCTAATTAGCTCTCATTGTATTGTATGTCTAATTAGGGTTATTTTTTCCAATGTGCATCACTTTACATTTATCCACATTACATTTCATTTGCCATTTTGTTGCCCAGTCACTCAGTTTGGTGAGATCTTTTTGAAGTTCTTCACAGTCTGCTTTGGTCTTAGCTACCTTGAGCAGTTTAGTATCATCTGCAAACTTTACCACCTCACTGTTTACCCCTTTCTCCAGATCATTTATGAATAAGTTGAATAGGATTGGTCCTAGGACTGACCCTTGGGGAACACGACTAGTTACCCCTCTCCATTCTGAAAACTTACTATTTATGCCTTTGTTTCCTGTCTTTTAACCAGTTCTCAGTCCATGAAAGGATCTTCTCTCGTATCCCATGACAACGTAATTTACACAAGGGCCTTTAATGAGGAACCTTGTCAAAGGCTTCCTGGAAATCTAAGTACACTGTAGTTGACAGCGTGTTGGCCCACGACTGGTGTGCTTTGTGCATTCCTAACTCGGTGACTCCTTTCTCCTGCCGTGCTGCCAGCTCCAGGTTGGAACGCAGCAGGGGTGTCCCAGGAAGAACAGGGTTTTACCACTGTAAGTGATTAACGCCTCCATCCAGGGCTGTTCCGATTTGGCAAAGTGATACCCAAGTGGCCGGGACAGGAGCTGACGCGCAGCGCTGTCAGCAGCCGGGCGGTGGAGGATGTAATTGAGGTGACAGGAGTTTTTGCTAATCCCTCATTAAGAGTGCTGGAGTAATTGAGGTCAGGTGGAGCTGAGCCATTTCCAACAAAG